GGGTTGCCGTACTCAAATTGGAGCGCCTCCGACAGCAGCGCCGCGCGCCGCGCCAGCCACTCGCGCTCACGCGCCGCGAGCCCGCGGAGCTCGCTCGCCGCCTGCGCGAACGCCGCGCGGATCGCGGCGGCGGCCGACGGGTCGCCGCACGCGGCGGCGGCGGCCTCCGCGGCGGCGGTGGCCTCCAGTATCATCGCCTCCTCGTCTTCCGCCCCCTCCACGCCCTCTTTCCCCTCCTTCCCCTCCGGCCCCTCCTCTTTCACATCCCCCTCCTCCTTCAACCCCTCGCGCTGCCCTTCCTCGACCTTCACGCCGCCGACCGCAGCCCCCGGCTCAGCCTTCACCACCGCATCTGCGCCGCCGCCGCCGCCGCTGCCGCCGGCGCCGGCGTCCTCCGACGGCTGCCCGCCCGCCCGCGCCGCCTCGCGGCGCGTGCTCTCGCGTGCAGCAGAGATGATGGTTCGTGGGTAGGCCGGGTCAAGCCCGAGCTCCGCCCTCAGCGGGCCGGCCACGCTGAGTGCGCGGTCGGCGATGATGGCCCCCCAGTTGCCGTAGCCTGGGGCGGCGCGGGGTGGGCAGGTTGAGGGTTGCACAAAGGTCGCGCGTTGTGTTGTCGGGGCAGCTTTTCTCCTCAGGGTTTAGCAAACGCAAGGATTCGGGTGCCGCGCTTGCATGGGTGCCCTTAGCAAGGCGCAGGCCTGGGTGGAACCGCAGGGCGGTTTGACATCCGTAAAATCGGGCATCCGGTTTGTTGCCCTCAACCCTGAACCCTAAACCCTGAACCCTGAGAGGGGAGCCGAGGATCTTGAAGAACGCATGCGTGCTGTCCCTGCAAGCCTGCCCCTCCATGCCCCTGCGCCGCAGCCCACCGTGTGTGAGGATGCCTCGCAGCAGGCCCAGGTCGTGCTGGGCGGACCACGAGCCGCCGCCCTGAGGGATGATGGTGTGGTGGTGTGTGTGTGTGTGTGTGTGTGTGTGTGTGCGCGCGCGCGCGGACAGGGCGTGCGGCTTGCGCGGGGCGCAGCTTGCTCAGCTGGCTGAGGTGGGGGCATCCAACGCGGGCCGGCCCCTCCCCCACTCTCACTGTGTTGTCTGCCCCCACAAACATGCACACCCACACTTGCGCACACACAAAAACTCACACCAACCCCCTCACTCCCCAGACACACACACACACACACAAATGCGCGTTCATCAGCACCCTCCTCAAACCAATCTCGCACCTTTGCCAGGAGCTCCTTCCTGGGGCCGTCCCCAACGGTGAACTTCTCTGGCGGGCGGTCCCCAAACTCGGTCACCTTGCGCGACAGCAGGTGGAGGAACCCCAGCCGCTGCATCACCTGTCAAAATTCGAAGAATTTCGAAATTTTGCGGCGGCGCGGAGGCGCGGGTGAGCACAGGGGGCGGGCGGGGGGCGGGC